AGAAACTACACATTGATTTGTTTCCTGCAGATACCCTGCTGTCTTTCTGTATCTTTCCTTTTGCTCTCTCACTTCCCTCCACCTGGATTGTTCCTTTCCCCTTCAGTCCTAACTCCTGGTCATTAGAGTTTACTTCATCTAGGGAGATCATCCCTTAAACTCCATGGATGATGTTACATGCCCTTCCCCTATAATATCTGACATTTATGCTTATTTTTGCCTTGGTCACTTGTATACTTAGATTTTAGATCTTTCCTCCCCACTAGACTATGAAATTCTTTATCTTTATAGCCCAGTAAAGTACCAGGTGCTAAACAGATTTTCAGTAAATGAATGAATAAATGTGTAATTCATTTCAGGCTCTGCTATTAGCTAGCTGAATAATTTTATGTGAATCATTTAAATGCTTTAATTTCAGCTTCTTTCTGTTTGAAATGTAAATAATACTCATTCTTTTTACTTCATACAATTGAGTTGAGAATCAGGTAAAATAACAAATAAATGTACTTGGTAAACTGTGAAGCAGGTTAATAGGCCTTCATGCTAAAACTGGAAAAGAAATTCTAAAATGTTAAATGCAACTTGTTCAGTTGAGACCTGTGTGTTACACATTTCTCACATTAAAAAGCAGTTATGATGATAGCCTTATTTATAATTTCAGCATTGACAGAAATAAAGGAAAAAATTTAGAAACATTAGATTGTAATTAATTCTCTCCTGGACATTCTAACTGTGCAACCAAGCATCCCCTCTGTTTGCTAACTGTGAGTGCCAAAAATCGTGGCTCAGTGATAACAAGTATGTAGAAATTCATGGCTCGTATGCTTGTGTTCTATCCATTTCTTCCACACACCAAGTCCTGATCTATTTTGTCTTTCCTGATCCTGATTTTTATGAATACTTAAACACTTACTGCTGCTATAGCATGCCATCTCTAGGTAAACACAAGGCAGAATACAAATAATAATGAAAACGAATCTTTGCCACTTATTCCTGTATAACACTAGTTGATTCTTGTTCTTCAGGGAAAGAATATGAGAATCTCAGTAATTAGGGAATCAGGGCCAGGATAATATAGAGAAATGAAAAGAACTGTGTTTATTGATTATCTATCTTTAGGAAGTCTTAAAATTGTACTCAGTAGGCTATCTCATATAGGCTTATCTTCATTTTGCAAATGAGAACATTTGGGTCAAAATCAATCAGTCATTTTGTTTGTTCATTTAGCTCTTAAAATATCAATGCCAGTATTAAAATTCAAGTATTTTGACTGCAAAAGTTCATACTACACTGTTTCACCGGAATTAAGCTATATAACCTTAATAAAGTTCTGTTTTCCTGTACATTTTAGTGTTTGATCTAGTAATAGGGATTCCCAAACTAACTGTGCTTAAGAGTCCTGTCATGTGCATCAGAATCTTCTGGGGGAATCTGCATTTGTAACCAACTTCACTGATAATTCTGATGATCATCCAGTTGGGAAATCATTGATTTGGGAGGCAGAATTGGTGTTCTCATCACATTCTCCCAGGTTCGTTTTCCAGTTAGGGAAATATTTTTTTCTAGCTACTTCAGCTGTGCTTCACATATATTAGGCACTGCATTTGTAGAAAGAATTTTTTATTGAAAGCAAAAATATCTGAGGACAATTTGGTAGATGTATATTTAGTGTTTGTGAGGTAAATACTGTGAATACATTTAAAAATGATGATGATAAAAAATGTTTTCCTTATATCCTCATAAAAATGATGTAGTACAATCAAAGCAATTTTTATGTTGATCAATTCTTTGTAGGTTGGAATTTATCTTTTGGAAGGTGGCCTAGCGAAACTAGATTTTCTGAGTGATGCAAATTCAAGAATGAAAAAGTTCAATCAGCTCATGAAGAGAGTGATGGAAAAGTTATACAATTTTGTCATTCCAGGTAATTTTTAAAATAAACTTTAAAATTTCTATTACTAAGGAGTTGTGGGTTTTCCCCCAACTCCTATACATAACAACC